GGGGTTGAAACATTCATTGAAAACACATTCCTTTCAAAATATAATATTCAACTATCAAATTTTTTTCTCTCATTATTCTATTCAAGAATCACTGTATTAACAACTATCATATAAGTTATAAATTTAAACAATAGAAATGTTTAGAATAAATAATCGATCAATAATGTACCAGAGCAGTCCATACTTAAACAATAACTAATTCTTAATGAAAATAAAACAAATTTTTGTAATGAACCAATTAATATAAAACAGTGAGGTAAGCCAGAGAATAATATAATATATAAAAATAAGATTAACCAGAGTATTTACACAAGTATAAAGGAATAATATAAAAATTTAAATAAAAAAATTTTATAAACACTTTGCAAGAAATTATTTGGACACTACCCACTCATTTGAGAGTTTTTTTTTTCAACAACTCTAAAGCTTGCTTCACTTCAGTTTCTCACTTACTTCCAAGGTGCCATTATGTTCCTAGTAAATCAATCACAATCAAAAATACTTATTCATTCTTTCTTAATAGAAATAAGTAAGTGTTTTAATATCTTAATCATAAACAATTAACAAAATTCTTTTTACCCTAATAAGTCCTCAAACAATTATTGACGTTTAAATTAATTCCAAATAGCATCACAACTATACATGTTCAACCCAAACAACTTCCGTATCGTATTATTAAACTTAACAATAATCCCACTAGAATAATAGAAGAGCTTTTTTTCAATTTTTCAACAAACACTCTATGCCATCCTAAGTGAAGTTAAGAAACAGCAGCACTTATAAAATAGACCGCCCCCCACTTTCAAGCTCAAATGTAATTTCTAAAGTTTTCTCAACATTAACAAAATCTCTTATCCCAAATATAATTTCCTCCTTCCCATGAATACATTCCAATTAAATTATGTCAATTGGTTAACACATCACTCTTCTCATAAGCATTTAAACAAATACCTTGAGAGCATTTCCATTTGCTCACTATAAAACCAATTCACATATATCCATCCCATCTTCTCATCATCAGTGAATTCCTAAGTCAAACTTCTGAACACTACTCAAGCATCCTTAAGAACATAAAACATCTCAAATTAAATTCCAATCAAACATTTGAATCACATTAGGGAGCAACTAAAATGAGCATCTTCAACTAAAAATTCAAATATATATAGACTCATTCAACAAGCTTCTTCCTTCACTAATAGCCAGCTAAAACAATTTAAACAAAATTCCAGCTCCCTCCTTCAACAGCCACAGCAGCTCAAAGAGGAAAAAGAATGCATCCATCGGTCAAGTGAGGAAAAGAATAAGCTTACCACATACACCCATGAAATTTCCAGTAGCTAGGAAGGAAAATAAATTGAAGCTCACACACTCACAGACCATACACACCGATGATGAAGCAAGAGAAGGTCAGAAATGAAGCAGGGCGAGCAAGAACAGAAAATCCAACAACTCCACTTCACCGAGGCAAATCGACACTGGTGGTAGAAGGGTGGCGGATGACCCATGACAGCGAAAAGGGCAGTCGACAGTAAGGAACAGAAATGCAGATCAACGGTGAAGAATCAAAAGAGCTTATGTCGATGAAGAGAAGGAAGAAAATAAATCAAAATGGAATGCTCTGTTTCACGCAACAGATATAAAAATTCTGAACAAAAAGAAAAATTGGGAAAACTACAAGAATTGGCACAAGGAAAAATTACAAGACAGGGCACAAAGTTTTGCTATAATTTAAAACAAAATAAAACTAAACTTTTGCTTAGTGAAATTCTAACTCTGGACCTTCAACCAAGTTATTAGCATAAGTTTTTATAAACTACCACCCTCCACTTGTTATAAAACTAATTTAATAAAATATCAATTGGGAGAAAATTTAATTTAATTTAAATTTAAAATTTAGGGTCATTACATAGACCAACAAGGAAGGCAACATTGTAGGTAAATGCGTTCAGGAGATAGCTAATAAATGCGTAAGTATCATTATTTTTAATTTGAGATAGTAAATTAATTCTTTACATTCAAACAAATAATTTAGGTTTTTCAATTTGTGTCACACAAGCTGTTATCTCAGATGAAGTCTTAAAGGGTGAGCATCTAGAAGATGAAGATATCTTAGGTCAAGCATTGAGTAATCCTGACCACCTTGGACGTGTAAGGGGTGTTAGTTTTGGCATCACTAAAAAGCAAGTATTTAGGACTTCAAAGCTAGCAAAAACTATAGCACCTTCTTCAGCTGAGTTTAACAAGTTAAAAGATGAGGTTGATAGGCCACACCGCATAGTTGATGTGTTGCTCACATCCTAGGAAAGGCATCAACTCATATGGATATTAGTCCCAACAGCAAGAGGGATAATTGCACTGTAGCCCAACCTTCTCATTCGAACCTTCTTGAGGTAATATTAAGATTTTCTTTAGTTAAATTTACTTTATATCAGTAACTTATATCTTTACATTGGTTTAGTGCGAAGCCAAATGTGACTTTCTGGCAAAGAGTATAGATCGTCGTGTGGTTGCAACTGGTGTAATATATAATGTCCCTAATGGCACTATACATAATGTGCAATTCCTCTAAGCCATGGACGAGTTTGTCTTGAAATTTTTTTAGATGACAACTATAAGCTGTCCATTCCCACCAAGGAGTGATGACTATGGGAGATGCATTGGGCACATTTTTTGCATGGCCCATTGCTCTTATAAGATTGACAGGCAAAGATAAGGTATACATGTCATTTATTACCTTTGTTTTATATAAGAATTCATTATTTTTAACTACCTTTATTACATAGTTTAAGGAAAAAGACTTCCCTAGTAAATAATTGACTAGCCATGAATTGAAGATTGTTGCACCTCCCCTGCTTCAAAAGATGGAGCCTCAATTGTCACATAAGTTCCTGACTTCACTAGGGGCATATGTAGACATGCAAAGAAATATTCACAATTTTGTTGCGGTAGACGTCCCATTCGAGCATGGCATGTATGATAGAGATCATATCAATCACATAACATTCGAAATGGTAGATGAAGTGCTCCACCATGCCATGATTAGCATGACTTTCATGGATTTTTATTTGAGGTGTCACACTCCAATACTAAGAGTATGAATGACACGGAATATGAGATAAACTCATATTCCATGAGCTTGAGTAACCAAAGATTGAGCTAAAATATCAATAATTAATTTATGTATATAATTATGAGGTTTGTAAAATCTTAAATATTTTTTAAAAATTTTGACAGAGTCTTCCCTGTAATTTGAATCTCCCAAAATTTTCACAATAGTAAAACCTATCAACTAATCCAGCAAAATAAAACTAGGATCTAACTATGGTATATATAGAGCACTAAGTTACAATTACATAAACCAATACATTTATATGAAAATACCCAGAACTGCTTCCATTGTTAAAAAAAATGATATTTCCCCTCAACAATCCGTAGACAAGGTCATCTACAATATCTGATACCAAAAATTTTTTTGGTGACTAGCATTCCAATCAAGATTATACATTTATAAATAATTAAAAATAAAATGTAACATGTAGTAACTAATAAATTTGATTTAAACAAAATAAGAGAATAATGAAACTTACTTTAATTAACAATAAATGATCAATTTGCTCAATAGTATAACCATGAAACCAACAATAGCATTAAAACCAGATAATTTTATCAACATTTTTCTATTAAAAAAAAACACACACACACATATAAAGATTTCAAATAATGGTGAATTTAAGGGAAAACAAATTCCTTTAAAGAAACTTATATAAAATGATAAGTTTTAAATCTAATATAGGAGGGCTTTATCAGAATTAATAACAAGCATGGATACACATTCCACGAGGATAAATAACTAATCAAGCATGGCTGAAAGTCACAAAACAAGCATAGCAGAAGCCACGAAACAAGCGTAGGCACAAGACACCCATGAAAAACAAGCGTGAGCATGATGCTCACAAATAACTATCCCTTCGTTCCACATGCGTTGGCCTTCGCACGAGACTAACACCTCATATAAGCACCCTGCTAACTAGGTGTATTGTGGCGCACCAAGAGCTAACGAAACTGCCATTAGCAACCAGCGTTCTGAACTCAGTCCCCTACTTAAAATTACGTGTGCATGAAACAATAATAAAATTTCAAAATTTTTCTATTTCAATTATATTGTTCAATTATCCATTTCTATTTCTTATATTCATGTTCCTATCTTCGATGCACAAATCATTATTTTAAAAATTACGTATCAAATATAGAATTTAGTAAATAAGTAACTTTTGAAAAGTAATATTGTTTGTCATATATCAACTTCAATCATTGTTTAGCAATAACATAAATCATAGGGGAAATCAAGAAATCGTCATTTATAAAACAATTGTTATAAAATAGAATTTGTAAGAATGTTTAAACAGCTTATAAAAGACCAATATTGAACTTAAATAAAGGAATTTCTTAAACATTTTTTTAAAACTTATTTGGAACGCTACTCACTCACTAAGTTTTCAAAATTTTATAGTCAGATCCCCTCAATTTCTTGTTTACTCTAATGAAGCCCCAAATTAATCTAGCATGTAAACCAACACATTTTATGTCATTATGATTTTCCTTAATATAAAGAAGCAAAATTAATATTCAAGCTCTTTAAATATTTTTTTAAATGTCTCATTAACTCCTTAATTCTCACTTAGACCCTTCAACAACTACCATCAAGTAGTCAACAACACTAGACAACATTCAACCACAACCATTCACACAATTCCATTCCAAATTTAACAAAATTTTAATTATCATTAAATCTAATAATTTTCCTTTAGATACTGTACAATTTCAATAGGTATATTAGCTTTACAATTTATATGAAGGCATATTTCCTCAAGTAGTATATATAATTCCTCTAAGCTCTAATATAAAAATTAAATAATCTTATTCCGTCCAATTTCTTTTTTAAGTATTCCCACAAATACCTTGAGTGTATCAAAAATTCAATTCACAATAATCATTCAACAAATTAATCAACTTCCAACAATAACTCTATTATCACCATTCAATTCATCTCCAAATTATAATAGTGCACAGCATCAACACAAAATACAAATCAATTTCCTCAAAATTATGACAGCCACTAAGAGGAGCAGAGACGCCTTCTTCGGCCCGGGGAAGGAAAGAAATGATGATTCACGTTGCTTATGAATTCAAAGGAGAAGAAAGGATCATCGTCTTACCTTGAACAGAAGTGGAGAAGTAACAACCACCCCTCAGCTCATGGCCACACCGAAGGATTGGAAAGTTCAAACAGCTGCTCAACAGAGAGAAGAAGAAGAATTAGCAGATCAGAGAAAAAGAAAGGAGGACTTGAGCTTAGTATACACATGCGCGCGGGCGTCCAGCAGCTGAGAAGGAAGAAAAATCGCAGCTGAATGGCGCGCACACACACCTCACCGTTGATCCTGAACGGAGACGCGACAGAGGACAGCGAAGAAAAGAAATCTTAGCAACTCTACACTCCCAGCAGCATAAACTTACCGAAGAGGCGGGGAGCAGTCCGACGGCAAGCAAAAGAGCAAGTTGACGGTGAAGAGAAAGGAAGCTCGACAGCAAAAGGAGAAAGGCCCAAGGATTACGAAAATCTCTCTCTCTCTCTCTCTCTCTCTCTCTCTCTCTTCTTTTACGAGTCTAACCGACAAGAGGAAGTGAAATTTGAATAAAACCAAAAACTCATGGGAAAAATTACAAGAAATGACACAAGAAAATATTACAAGGAATGATACAAAATTTTCCTATAATTAAAATGAACTAATTTTTTCCCCTTAATAAAATTCAAACTTTAGATATTCAAGAAGGTACTACATAAGTTTTAATAAACCACAATCCTCTACTTACTATAAAACTAATTTAAATAAAATATTAATTGAGAGAAAAAATTAATTTAATTTAATTTAAAATTTAGGATTATTACAAGGTGCTTCTTTTTGCACAAGAATTGTTATTATTTTTATAAATATCTACTAATCTATTTCATTTATTCATTTTAGATTTCTTTACCATATACACTCATGCCCCACAGCTTTACTAGGATATTTGCCTTCATTTGTCCTTATGACATTGCTGGTTTTCGTGACATTAGGGACTCTGATTGTGAAGATCAAGCAAAGTGGCTGTACAATTCATTCAAGGCTAGGACTACTAAGAAGAGATGGAGGTTATTCTTGATACCTTACGTGCAAGGGTTAGTTATTTATTATATTTAATGTTTTTTTCTTTTATTACTATTTTAATTTATTATATATTCTTCACAATTATTGATTATTTTAGGGATCATTGGATGCTGATTGTCATTGATTTGGTTGGGGAAAAATATAAAAAATTGGCCATCTATTACTTGTGTTTTGCTGGCTGGAAACCAAATAATTGCAAAGATATGATGGAATTAATCAACAAGCACATTAATTAAGTTTCATACTTGTGTTTTTTGATATTTCAAACTTTTTATGCCTACTTCTATGTTATTAGGGATGTGTTTTTGTACCGCACGGACGAATCTCTAACTATCCCCAAGGTCAAAGTATTTGACCAATTGTTCACATGAATAGTAATAAGGGTATGTGTTTTAAAATTAATTATTCAAGTATTTATTAGCTAGCAATTATTCAATATTTTAATATATCTTTATTATTTTTTCAAAGTACCCACGTCAAAGATCAGATTTCGTGGACTGTAGATATTGCGTGATAAGATTCATTAGAGACATCATCACTCATGCCAATACTTCAATCCTTGCCAAGGTTCATATTTAATTAAACTACATTTATGTATAATATAATTTCATAAGTTGATTAGCTAACTTTGTTGTAGTTATAATTTAAATTGTAGTATTATGATGACACTTATTGTGAGAAATTCTGAGATGCTCACATCAATAAAGTCATGGAAGAGTGGTGCCAACATGTATTTCAACTATGGATCATGAAAAAATACACGCATTAATCCTTAGTGAGTAGGCATTAGGTTTAGGAGCAAAAGTAATGTGACTTAGGATAGTATTTGTTTCATTTTTAAGGATAGAATTGTGATTTTAGGAACAAGATTTGTGACTTTTTAAGCAAAAGGAATAAGTATTTTGATTGCATTTTGGTTTGTTTGCAGTGTGTGCGTGTGTTATTATAATTTTTAAATAATGTTATTGATGATAATGTTTGCTAGATTGTTTGGGAGATTGTTATGGTTGTATACTGTCAATTCTATTTTAGGGGGTTGCTTAAAATGCAGGTCCCATAATAAAAAAAATCTAGAACATATGTGACAGTTATTTTAATAACAGTCAAATATGTATATATATTTGACGATTATTTAATATAACCATCAAATATATATGGGAATACTTGACGGTTATATATAATAACCATCAAGTATGCCCTCCTTATTTAGCATTATATTGCTTTTTGGTACATTATACTTGATGGTTAAAAATAACCATCAAGTATATAGATATATTTTTAATAGTTAAAATAATCATCAAGTATATGGACATGCATAAATGATGGGATCTTATTTTATGGTTATTAACCATCAAATATAGGGATAAATAACCTTCAAATATCTCCAATTCTGTAGTAGCGTTTGATTATAAGAAATTGATGACAAATAGTTATTGATAAAGATAAATGTGTTGGAATGTATATTGATTTTCCATTGATGCATTTGGCCAAGGAGGAGGTCCATTGAGCATTGACATGAGTTACTTGGTTTGAAAATCAAAGGTTAGATAATTGAGATTAGTTACCTTCTAAACCATTGTAGAGTTTAGTAATTGTGATTAGATCTATGGTTATATATGGTGATATTACTATATATGGTATCAAATTCTCAAGTTTAGAGATTGGTATATGTGTGATTTTGCATTGAGCATGCAGAAAGCTAGCATTATGCTATTCATTACACATGTTCTTTCCCTTTCTATAGTTATATTGCCAACTTACTACCTAATTCTTACTAGTATTGGCTGCATCCTTGAGAGGAGAAATGGTATGGAATCAAGAATCTGCTATAATAAATGACCATCTAGAAACAAAACAAATGGGACAACCATAGGACCACTAAGAGAAAAAATTAAATTAGTGAAAGACAAATCTATCACTAGTCAACAATATCTATCATTAATTTTTGCTTTAGTGACAAATCATCTGTCACTAATTTTTGTAACAAATATGGCATCTCTCATTTAGTGACAGAGACAAATTTGTCACTAATTTAATGACAAAAAATATTTGTCACTAATTAATAAATATTTGTCACTAATTTGTTTTATAATTAAAAATTTATTGCGAGTCAAAACATTGCCATGTCACCTCCCTATGCTACATCTCATGTACACATCACCCCCACCACCCTTCACATCATTGTTAGTTGGACCTCCATGACACATCATATAATAACCCAAAAACAAATGGAAAAAAATGGAGAATTTAATTTAAGGTAAGAAATTTTTAAAATGTATTTTTATAAATTTTAGGGATAAAATTCATCAAGTTGTGCTGGTTGTTCAGTGGAAACCTCTCTTGATATTTGCCTTCATGATAATTTTATTTTTTCTCTAGCTTGATCAAATTACTAAAATACCCTTCACTTAAATAAATAATCAATTAAACCATTAGATATTTTTTGTATTCCTCCTTCCCATTCCACATTTGATAATTAAACCAAATTACCTCTTCTTCCTCCTCCCTCGCCTGATCAGTCATTCGCCGGTCACTGTGGATATGTCGGCGTCATTACTGGACGTTTAAGTCGCGAGATGCTCCTCTCCTTCCTGATTTCTATTTTCTTCTGCGTCTGCCGAGAGCAAGAGAGAGGGTCCAATTGCTGATTTTGATACCTCTTCTCGTGGGTTAGTGCATTCGGAAGGAGCTGGAATTGTCATAGCCAAGGGTTGCTGGTCAGTTTGCGAACTCTCCTTCTTCTTCACTTGTTTCCTATTGCCAGAAACAACTTCTCCTCCCTATTTTCCAGCACACCAGTAAGGGGCCAAAAAAGCTACGATTTTCTCCCCGTGTCCCTTAATTGCTATGTTGGTTGGTTGAATTTCACCTCTCTTCTCTTCTTTGCATCAAATCTTTGCGTGGATTGTGATGTGGGTGGCTGAAATTTTGATCCCCTTTCTTCTTGTTACGTGAATGGTGTCTAAGTGAGTTTCTAGCCCTGTTCCACTTCATCTTGTTATGGTATGACTGTTGAAGCTTTGGTTTTATCTTCTTGTTCTTCCCTAACGTGTGGTGTGTGCATGTTTGAGTCTCTATTTTTTTTTTTTCCTTTTTGTTCCAGCTTTTGTGTGTGAGTAAGAAAGAGATAATGGGATCCTAAGCAAGCTAAAAATTTGAGGATTTGATATCTCACCTTGGATAGGAAATTATACTTCCAATTCCTCAAGCATTTTCAGTTGTTATATGAGAAGCATGTTTGGTTAGGTTCTGTTTTCATGATATCTAAATTGAATTTTGAAGAAGGAATGAGTTAAATAAGCATAGTAAATTTGTATATATGTTTGGAAATTGTTGGGTATGAAATTTAAAGAGTAAGATGGTTGTTGTCTAGTTTAATTTTGAATGCACATGAGGTGTTTAATAAAATATTTGATAGAAAATTTTAAACAATAATAGCAGATAAATGTGTTAAATGGGCTGGTTGTTGATTAAATTGTTATTGAAAGTAATTGCTTCCCTATCATGGAAGGATGGAAATGAAATTAGGAAATTCTAGAAAAGGTACTTGGTTGATATTTCAAAGACAAAGTTTGTTTGTTATTATGTTAATTTTTGTGTGCAGATAACGTGTCAAATGAATGTTTGAGGAAGGAAGTTTATAGAACTTGGATATGCATGAATGATAACATTGATTGAGTTGTAGAAATTTATTATCTATAAGAAAATTTGAAAGCTTTAAACATTATTTATATAAGTATTTTAAAGATCAATTGATTTAACTCAACATGAAATTTTATTGTGAATGGTTAAAGTTGAGATTTTCTTTCATATTGCTCAGAATTATATGAAAATAAAGATTTTGGAATTATAAAGTGTATAAAAGAAATAATTAATGATGTCACTTTGGGTGATAGGAAATTAAGAATTTGATAGTATTACAAAAGTGCCTAATTAGGAGTATGTTATGTATTTGGAGATATCTCAGGTAAGTGAATAGCATCCCAAATGACTTATTAGTAAATTCATTTTCTTCACAATAATGTTTAAGTACATTCATAACTATTGATATTGTTATATTTTAAATTTCATTATCAACTATCATGAATAAAAATGTTGTTATTGTACATAATTTTATAAGAGGAGTTAGAATTATTTTACGATTGGGTATCTACCATTATTTAATATATTGACAATGTTTGATTTTATGGTTTAAAGAATTATTTATTATTATGACTCATTCATGCTTGATTTAAAGTGTGGGACTGAATCAAAACACTGGTCGCTAATAGCAGTTCTGTTAACCCTTTGCCTGCCATGGTAAACTTAGCTAGCATGGTGTTTGTAGGAGGTGCTAGTCCCGTGCACAGACCAACACATGTGGAATAGAGGGATAGATATTCGTAAGCATTATACTCACACTTGTTTCGTGGCTAATGCCGTGCTTGTTTCGTGGCTTCCAACTATGCTTGACTGGTTACTTAATCTCGTGGATTGTGTGTCAATACTTGTTATCCGTTTTGATAAAGTCCTACTAAAGGATATTTTGAAATTAATTTTTTTAAAAAAACAAATCTTGTAAGACAAGTTGATTTTCATGAATGGATTTTTTTGTAATGAGAAAGTTGCATTTCATAACTATTTAACACGAGCCTAATAGTTTAGAAAGTAAAATTTGACCATTGTGTTGTCATCATATGAGGATGTTTTGGATTAAATGTTTAAATGAAAATATTTGGTTTGAGTTATATACTATTGCTTTTCTATATGATTATTTAGTTAAATTTATGCTTATTCTATTTATATTTCTTTCTTTTATCACTTTTAATTTTATTTTGGAATGCTATTTACTAAAAAATATTTTAGCCTTAGATAATAGCTGGACTTGTATTATTTATTGATCATTGGGAGCTTTATCGCTAAACCGAAGTAGAAGAAATTCTTTAGACAAATACCAAATTGATCTAAATGTGAACTTAGTATTTTTTTATAGTTTACTTCATGCGTCTTTGTTAAGTATAGATAGAATCTTGACTTGTTGCATATATTGATTGTTTGTTATTAAGGAGTAGAGCTCTATGTATGATTCTAGTTGTGCAGGGAAAAGCATGGCAAGAATTTCTAATCTTGTTATTAATGAGTTCAAAGTATTAAATAAGAGGTTTCTTGAAGTAAGGCTTATAGGATATGGGTTTTATATGTATATCCTATGCCGGTCACACCTTATTTTTGGGGTGTGATAGATCATGGCCATGTCAATAATTTATTTTAATTATTTTTGTTTGTGAGTGACATTACCTTGTCTCGAACCCAAGACTTCCCTCTTATCATTCATACCTTTTTCCAGTTGAGCTGTAATGACTTTTCATTCTTAGTAAGCAAAATTTAATACTCCCTCCGTCCCAAATTATAGTATACTTTTGAACGAGTTTTTCCATTCCAAAATATAAGACACTTTGAATATATGAAGGTTTCATTAAATGTACCAATTTCAATATTATCCTTTCTCTCTCTATAATTAATTTCTATCACTTTTCTTTTCAATATATTAAATGATGATTATTTTGGCAAGTTTATATTTTTGTTTCGAAAAGATAAAGTTGTTAAATTATTTAATGAGGCTAATTAGTATGTGAGATTTTGTCTAAAAGTATCTTATAATTTGGGGATTGAGGGAGTATATATTACCTAATTAAACACATATATTTAACTTAATGTATTTTTTAATATATTTAATATATTATTTAATTATTTGATAATATATATTAATTTTTATACACACACAGTAATACATATAAATATATAAATTAGTATATATTATTAGTTAATAAATATATTATTTAATATCAATATAGATATTTTATGAAAATAAATATTTTTTTATATCATTTTATGTTATATATGTTATAATACAATATTTTTATATGATAAAATTTTTATTTTACATTTAAATTTACTTAATAAAAATATTTTTTATTTTTCCACATCATTTTTATTATATATTTTATTTATTATAAGAGAAAAATTATTTATATATTTATTTAATTTGGTAATTATTAAGATTTTATCCATGTAATTCTCTCCATGTATATTATAATGTTTTATTTTCATATAATATGTAAGCACATTTTACTAATTTTTTAATTAAAAATATCTATCACTAATCTATCATTAATATAAAGATTTAGTGATGGCAATTAGTGATGGATTTAAATCTATCACTAAATTGATAAAATTTGACCAAAATGTAACATCTTATGTCTATCACTAATTTATGTAACTATTAGCAAATTTTAGTCCATCACCAAATTTCCGTCACTAATACCGATAATTAATTTGTCACTAAATGTCCGTCACTAATTTTAATTTTTCTAGTAGTGGACAATATAATGATGCTATAGTGAGGCAACTAAGGGACATAATTTTCTAAATTAACCAAGAGGTTATTAAGAGACATGAAGGAAACATAGAAGACTAAAAAATAATCAAAAGAGTCTGAGATTTGTGGACTTCTATGATGGTAAAAGGGTGGATATTGGGAAGGAGGACTATAATAGACCCATTTTATTTACATTTAGGGGACCTGGTAGTAGTGTAGTACTTGTGTAAATGGGACTAAGGTGTTTATTGATAAGGCTTGGAAGAACTTTTCAAAGTTTAATCCACCCATTTTTGATGGAAATATGAAGCTAAGAGTTGTTGAGAAGTGGAAACATTTAGGGGAGCTAGTGGTGGTGGCACTCATGTGATTACATGCTTGAATGTCTTGAACATAATTGTTCATACATACCCCATTTGCAGGCTCATGAATAATGCCCCTTGCATGTGTGTCAACTAGTTATCTAGTTACTGAGATTTTTATTTCACCTTATGGATTAACATTTTGTAGAAGACTGTCCGAGTAAGAGTAAAGGGAAGATATCGGGCGCTAGAGACCATTAATTGTGTAATGTCTCTAGTTAGTTTTGTGTAACTAAATCATAAATGCTAGCTAGGATTCATATTTTGGTCATACTTGCATCTTTTATTATGGACTTGTCATTTGTGGTATTTTGGGCCTTGATACTGTCAAGATGAAATTTGTTGATTTTGAATTAGGCCAAATTGATCCAAGTTTTTTATGTTGTATGTTGGTAAATTGAAAATGGATTTATGAATTTTAATATTGAGAAATGTAACATCCTGGATTTTCATCCAAGGAACTAGTTACTAATTAGGAGTAGATTAGTACTTAGTGGATTGATTGTGGTTTTGGATAGGGGTTATTATGTAGTGCTAATTGATTGGTGTGGTTACAGGATTGAATGGTAGAACGGTGATTTGGGAATTAACGCGCGAGCACTAGTGAGATTTAGCTCACTGTGCCACACGCCGCGGCTTGTGTGCATCAGCTCATGAATTAGAAGGAAAAGGGGAAAGAAATGTGCTAAAGAGGGAGAGAGAGGATCTCTGTGCTAGGGCTTCAATTATCCAGAGTTTAGAGTTTGTTTTCTATTAGCGACTTGTCGGGTAAGTTTTCATACTACCCTGTACTACATTTCTACCCTAATTTATTTGAGTTTGGTAGTAGAAAATTTGAATCAGGGGGTTTTAAGGAGTTGAAATCTAAGGGAAAGATTTAAAAAAGGGCTTTTGAGTGTGAACTAAGGTCTAGCGACTGGTTTGAAGTTTACTAGTAAATCTTATGGATATGGGCATTGTTAACCTAATTTATTAGGGTTGAAAATGGAGAAAATTGGTAAATGAATGAGTTAAGAGGGTGTTTTGGTTACTTGAGTGGCTTAAGGGAAAATGATTATAAAGAAAGGATTATATGAACTCAAAGGGTGTTAATTGAGTTATTTTATGCATTAAGGGTTTGACTTAGCCAAAGTAATGTCTATGTTGAGTGTGTTGAAAACTAATTGAAGGATGTTATTATGTAGATTGAGCATCTAAGGGTTTCTTAAGGAAGTTGAACTGACTTGAGAAGTTTAGTGTGAACTATAACCTTTAGTAAGAAGGGTAAAAAGGTAACTGGAGTAGCCCTTTTACTTGTTTATTTGTGAAATTATTTACAAGTATTTTATATAACTGAATGCATTGTGTTTTATGGACTGATAGAGTAGCATTATTGCAAAAGAGATATGCACGCAGGGGGTGTGTGTGTGATGTTTTAAAATGTATGTGAAATGGCATGTGCATTTGCATCCACGAGTATACCCTAGATTAGGGTAGGAGTTGTTGTCTTACTCTATATAAGACTAGAAAGTCTTGACAATCTAAGTGTTAAGAATGTTCCACTAGTGGGGACTCAGGTAACCACCCATACTAATGATACTTGGTTGAGATAGTGGTTTGGTAGGCCCTAGTTCATGTAAGGCTGGAAGCCCTAGTTCAAGTGTAGAGCTTGATTGGCTAGGGGGAACCGAGAGTGCATGAGCATAATGGATTGATTGAGTATGATTTCATATATGTACTATCTATATTGTCTTATTAAAAGTAATGCTACTTTATCTCTTGTTTATGATTTTACTAACTAACTAGTATTTAGGGTTTATCCTAATTATTAAGATGTATATTTCACTCCATTACCTTTGTACACAGGTGAAGAGAGTGCAAGAAGACCGTGAAAGGAAATGAGGAAAGAGTAGCCTCGGTTGATAGTGGTATGACCACTTTTGTGTAATTAATGTATAAATGTGTGATTAAAGATTTGAGTGTTCAAATAGGATGCATAAGTGTATATAAATATGAATATGTGATTATATTGTTGAGAACTTGTATATTTTGTAAGCATCACACCAAGTGTATCATAATGATGGATATGTGGGTAAGCCTAGATGCTAATCAAGCAAGTGTATGTTATGTTGTGAAACTTGTTCCACTAGTATTGAAAATGAAATTATTGTGATGAAATGTGTTGTGTGTGGATCTTGATCAAATGGCAAGGCTTGCCCCATTTATGTGAGTCAAATGAAATTTTGATTCCTAACCATATGTTGAAGCCTATAAGGAAGTTGGATGATTAAAAGTGGAACAAGTTTATGTGTATATATAATTGTATGTATTGTGCCTTATATAGCCCCACAAGTGTATAATGTGGCGTTGAGAGGTCAAATTGAGTGTGTGATGTGATATATATGATGTATTGTGTTAACTAGGTGTATTTAGTCCTATTAGACTTGGTTTAAAGTCTAGAATGGTCTAATGAGACAAGAAATGAAAATTGAACACTTAGGGTGCCAAATTTTGAAAGAAAAATGACTTTTTTCACTTCGGGTGTTCAAGTTTAGATTATACTATTGGATTGTGTCTAAACTTATCGCATTATATAGAATATATTATAAGCTTCATGTAAGCATTTGAATTACTCCAATTGGACTTGGGTGTGAAAACGGGGCACGGCGGAAGTTCATATCAAAAAATTGTTACGAAAGCAAAATCTGATACATGTATGCGCAAGGTATACAAGCCGCACACGACACATGTCACAGAACCAAAGCTCTACTTTATGCCACATGCCACGGCGCATGTGGTGTGAACCGCAATGCATGGCCCCTTTTTTAGAAAAATAATGGTATTTCTTGAGTCATGAAATTATATTTACACTTTTGTTATTAGCCCTCTTATTTGAATATATCTTTTATGAAATCGGGATCCCGCATTTTAAAATAGTCGAGGGCTATAACTCTGATATCATATTGTTATGGTGTGTTAATGTGTGTTAGAATTGGTAAAGTCTGGGTTATACAGGCGACTTTACAAGAAACCTCACCCCCTTATTTAAGTTAAAGTTTAGGGTTAGAGGGTCAAACTAAGTTTTAAACTGATTTGTATGTTTATGGTGCCTTATATAGTTTGTCTAGGGCTGACAAGAACTTGGGGTTGAATGGTGGTTTTAAGAAATATGAGGTTTTAGTTGTATTGGTGCGTTGCACAAGTCCGCTAAAGTCTATTAAGTGTGATCAGATGGTCAGTGTAAGCTTTTGGCACTTGTGGTTGAGTTGGGACACCAAGGATTTGTGTTTTGTGTGAAAAGTGATAAAAATAAGTTTTGGTGTCCAACTTTTTATAAAAAAAGAATTTGAGTGTGAAACTGGTTCCATTAGCTAGAGCTTGAAAGAAGCTCCGTGTAAATATCGAAACCACCTCAATTAGACGTCGAATGGAGATTTAGGATGCATTTAAAGTTCTCTCCCGTGGCTATCAAATGACAGCAACTCATGTTGTCATTTTCGTGCAATGCGCCGTGGTGCATGGCATACAGGTGATTGAGTTGCAGCGCATATGTCATAAGCCGCGGTGTACAGATTGTTTTCTACACAAAATTCAATTTTAAGTTTTAAAACTCATTGTTGTGGGTCTCATTTATTTTCTAAGCTTCCACATTATTTTCAAACTCTGTTTTTAACATTATAAGTGTATGATAGTGATTGAAATTGAATTTTAGAAATTCCAATGTATTGTTTCGAGAAGTTTCTCTTCTATGAAATATTACAACTTTGGTAATCATTTAAGGGTTAATCCTTTGATTACCTTGAGTATAGACTTAAGATGGTTTAATGAGGGAGACCTTATAACTTGGTATCAGTTTCTCTGATTATAAGGACTATCTGTGGTTTGGTATGAGGAGTTTCCTTATGAATTGTGAATATGCATGTAGAAAGTTAGTAATTAACATTATACACATGCTCTTTCCCATTTTGAGCTAGTGCTAATTCTTTTTCTTGTGTGGGATAAGTTCCACCCTTAGGAAGGGAAAATGGTGCAAACAAGAAATATTGCCGACAAACATTTTGGCAAATGTATCAAGACAAGAATGGTAAGTCTTAGTACAAGAGGAGAATATTGTCTTTAATGAACATGTTGAGATGGGATAAGACTCAGGACAAGCTAGAGAGCAATCGAGGCCTATTGCGGGCAATGAAAATATATTGCTCAAATTGAGAAATATGATGGAGAAGATTGAGTGGAGAATAAATGAACACGATGAGATCCTAAAGAAGAGGCCGGAAGAGTCTAGCAAGACTATAGAGAGGGTTGAAGGCGGTCATGGTGAAGTGAGACTTGAGAAGGAAGCACTTGGCCAACGTGAGGAGGATTACTACAAAGAGAGTGGATCGAGGAGGCCTGAGCTAGTGAGGCCTAGAGGCAAAGAGCAAGAGAGATCCATTGACCTAGCTTTAAAAAAGTTCACTTGGTTGAATCCTCCATCATTTGAGGGTTCAATAGAGAATAGGGTTATTGAAAAGTAGATAGATTGGTTGAAGATTATTTTTTTCGTGATGACTTGCATGTCGGAGCAAAGAGTATTACTTGCTACATTCTTGCTTGAGGATGTTGCCAAGCAATGGTAGGAGAGTGTGAAACTGGCTAATAGGTCTCAGCTGTCATGGAGTGAGTTCAATAAGAGGTTCTTCTCCTACTATTTTCCTGCCTTATTCAGAGCTAAGAAAGAAGTTGAGTTTCACCGACTGCAGCAAGGAAGCATGAATGAAGAATTCATTGCAAAGTTTAATGAGTTGTTTAAGTACTTGACTTATTTGAGAAATCATGATGATGAGTATTGGAAGGCTGAGCAATTACTTGAGAAGATGTGGCCTGATTATCGACTACAGTTAGCACCTTTTGACATTATCTCTTATAGTGACATGTGCAGTAAGCTGAGAGTAATGGCCAGACGTGGTCATGAGATTGAAGACAACCAGAGGAGAGATGGTAGGGGTCATTTCTCTACATATACGAGTCCTATCGAAGGTATTAGTAAGGGAGTTGGATATAGCTCTAGACCATTTGGATTGGGTAGTAGTGGCAGTAAGATGAAGAGCTTTAAGAAGGGTTCTCAGTCTAGAGGTTCCCAGATGAGGAGTAATGCCCCCAGGAGTATGGATGGGCAAAGTTAAGCCTTAAGACAAGATTCTACTCCTATAGTAGCTAGACCGATTAAAGCCCCACAGTACAACAAGTGTAGGAGACACCATACTGGGGAGTGCTGGAACTGTTTTAAGTTCCACAAGGTTGGGCACATTACTTGGTATTTTCTAGAGAACGCTTCTAACACCGATCAGAGATCTGCTATTCCTAGTCGCCTGTTTGCTATGACTAGAGAGGAGGCTAAAGCTTCCCCAGAGCTCATCTGAGACTATAACAAGAAGATGGTTTCATTACCGATTTATACAGCAACCACAATAAATGATGAAAATATACAGCTTATGTCAACTACTCCAGAGACTTTTAACTTCTTATCAATGGTACAAGTAGAAAAATCAGTGAAAGAAGGATGTCAAGCCTTCATGGTGTTCTATTTAATACATGGAGTGTATGATGGTGCACTAGACAAGATTGGAGTTGTCAATGAATTTCCTGAAGTATTCGTAGATGAAGTGTCAGGATTGCCATCGAAGAGAGAGATTGACTTCTCAATCGACTTGGTACTTGATACCGAGCCAATCTCTAAGGCTTCGTATGGGATGGCTCTAACAAAGCTGAATGAGCTTAAGAAGCAGTTAGAGAAGTTATTGGAGAAGGGATTGATTAGACTAAGTGTTTCACTTTGGGGTTTACTTGTTCTGTTTGTCAAGAAGAAAGATGGTAGCATGGGATTGTGTATAGACTACCGATAGCTGAACAAGGTAACAATCAAGAATAAGTATCCATTACTCTGAATTGATGACTTGTTAGATTAGTTGGCTGGAGCAACAATATTCTCTAAGATCGAATTAAGATCTGACCATCACCAATTAAGGTGAAAATGGATGATGTGTCAAAGATCTGTCACACCCCAAAAATTATATGTGAGCGGCACGGGATATATGTACAAACATATATCCCTTATGCCTTAATGAAGAAAACTTTAATCTAATATTTTAATTCATTTGAAATAAGATGAAAAATCATTATAACATTTTCATATATAAACAAAAGATTCTTAAACTTTTTATAAAAATTTTGGCAAAACCTCCCCTATACTTGGGACTTCCCAAAAATCTCTACTACAGCCCTTTACAAAATTAAATCAAAAATATAGAGCTTTGCTCCGTCACATAGCCACAGTATAAATTATAGATCAAGATCCTGTCTAGAGTGCCTAAAACATAATCTTAAAATAACGCATAATTAAATATTTACATCAAAAAGAAGATATTCTCAAAAGATCTTCTAGTCAATTCAACAAAGAGCCTCTCAACGATCCTCAAGAACTGTAAGCCGGTTATATTATCTGAGACCAAAAATATTTTTCAGTGAATAACATCCCAATAATAAATTTTATAAAAATCAAGATAATTAAATTCACAAGTAAATTGCTACACAATTAAAAAAGAACATCAATATAATATCAAGACTGAAATTTGAAGATTAAGAGATTCTATATATCTTTAAAATATTGAATCAGTAAATTTACAATGACAAAACCTTAGCACTTGATCTTGTAAAATAGAATAAATTAAGTAAACAAAATAATGACATTCACTATTTAAAATTAGTAAAGTGCATATAAATATATATAGTCACAAATCAATTAAATTCGAGGACTTTGCAGAACAAGTAACAAACGTGAATACGTAGTTCACGAGAATAAATAACCAAATGCGGCTTATGCAACGAAAACAAATGTGGACATACAGTCCACAAGGGTAAATAACCAAACATGATTGAAGCCACAAAACAAATGTGAATACACAGTCCACAAGGGTAAATAACCAAACAAGATCGAAGCAACGAAATCAAATGAGGGTACAAAGCTTACGAATAATAAACATGAGAACAAAGCTCACAAAAATCAAACTAGCTAGTCATTTACTAAGGTGCGCTAAGGGTTAATGGAACTGCCGTTAGCAATCATTGCTCTGCATACAGTCCTTTAAAAGTCACTTTTTCAAACACGCGAGAAATT